AATTAAACTCTGAATTATTTATAGAAACTGTTTACTTTATTATAGTTGTGTATGTGTGTAGTTTAGAGCAAGTTGTGTAATGCTATGAAAAATCGTGGAGATTATAACAGAAATACATATTTTGGCTGCTTTAATACCAATATTGTGTGGTTTAAAAATGGTTGTGTCTCCATCTGTGCCTGTCTGCTTTTCATGTTTGAACATCACTGGTGCCTTAACCATTCAAATATCTTATCAGTAAGAATATTCACAGATTTATCTTTTCTCTCCTGAGGTTTGAGGTCCACTGAATATGGACCAAATCTTAATATTTTGGGGGGCACCTAATATGAAGCCCTGTAACGTTTTCAGAATTTTCACAAAACAGCACTTAAAATTTTTAGTTTCTGAGATATTACTGATGTTTAAAGTTTAGAAAAAGTATTACAATGCTGCAACTTGGTAAATTTTGTACTGAAAAATTTGATATCAAAACTGATATTAAAAAAATGGATAGTTCTTTTTCGTGTATGAAGTAATTCTTCAGAATATGTATTTTTGTCCCTTGTTACTGAAAAATTGATGGCGTACATTGAATTTTTGTTAAACTATCTACATTATGGCAAAGTGCGAAAGCTCGGCATTTTTTTGGCATTATCCTATAACTACAATATTGTAGATACAGATTTTTATTAATAAAATCCTTCCTTCAAAATTTAATCTTTAAGTGAAGCCAGGTAGAATTTTTGTAAGAATAAGTAAAATTCATGTAATTTTGCCTGAAATAAAGGTAAATTTAAAAGTAGAGTATCTCAGAAATGGCTCCAAATTTTTACTTTGTTTTATTTTTCTAGGGCAGTGTGAAATACACTTATTAAAATGTGTCAGGTCCAATTTTTGTTGCGTTCTATGAACTTTTGAAAATCAAAAAAGTTACAAATGTGTCATTGTTCATGCTGTTTTAGTATCTATAGTTTATTTAAATTTCTTCCTGGAACAGTGTGAAATACACTGTCAAGTCCAATTTTGACTGTTATCTCTGAATTTTTGAAATTTTCAAAGTTTATATTCTTCTTGACACTATCATACAATTATTGATTATTAGGATGTTTCTAAATTAAACTGCTCTGCATATTCATATTAATCAAAGATTAATATCAAGTACATATTTTAAAATGAGTACTTCTAATACAACTCTATATGTATAGGAACAATAAAAAAAATATAAACAAGATTATCTCTAAAATGGCCCAAATTTTCCCTTATACTTTTGTAAGGTAGAGTTACAAGCACTGAAGTGTAACCTCACTACATACTTCAGATGACATATTGCTACACATTTAGAAGGTGGGACAATGAGGCATTGACCTTTGTGATTTACATTGAACAACTTTGAGTCTGTGCAACAAATTATTTCCAATGCATCTTAATGCCAAAATACTTCTCTGAATACTCTGGATGCTTCACACTTGGACAATCATCCTTTAGATAGCAACCTATTGCTAACTCGTGAATTAGCCCCTTAATTACTGGAATTATAGCTTCATCGACATACATATACTCCAAACCTTTTGGCTAATTCATGAATTAATTCTCAGTTTAGCGTTTTCTCTTTATACTTTTCTTCATCCTCCTCACTTTCATCTTCATTTATTATCTTCTATATATAGTGTAGAAGAAATATAGTAATGTTGCCAAATATCTATTGAGATTTTGAAAGAAATTTGGCATTTTGGTGGTCCCTTGAAACGAAAGTGTGCTTCTTAATCAACATCCATTCCTGTCAGTATTTCCATTTCTTCATGCACAAGACCAGGGCTAATCTGACCACAGGATTTTCTTCTAATTTGATTAGGTGCTAATGACATTTCGAATCCATTGAATTTTATTTTGATATTTTAATTTTTAGAGGTACTTTGAATGCAGCCTCTAGGAAATTTTAAAATTTTTCTTTAAATGGAGCTGGCGAAGTGGGTCAGTAACTCTTTGGAGATGTGGAGAAGGATCTCCAGTGATTCTTTATCCATTTTCCATCCTTTCAAAAATCAAACAGTCTCAAAACTTATTTATTGATTCCAAACTTTAACAATTCTTAATTTACAATTATAAAAAATAAAAAATTGAGAAAATTTGGAAAAGGTTGAATCCTTATAAACAATGCCTCAAAATTTCAGAATATCCAATTGAAGCTCGCAATGGCATTGAGTTCAGCCACATCTATAAAGGACTATCAGTTTTAGAAAAAGTCTTTGAATGGTTTAGGCACTAGAGTTGAACAGTGACATGTTGTCCTATTAACAAATTTTCAGTATCAAGGACCCAGAAAAGTGGATTCTGAGAACTAAAAACATCAAAGTAATTCACTACATTTAGGTCATACATTACACGTCATACACAGTTTTTAACTGTTTTTGACATAAATAAATGAAGATATAATAGAATAAAAAAATATTGATCTGATACCAAAAATATTTTTTTTAAATTTGCTGATTTTTGCCACAATATTTCAATACTTTTTTCTTTACTATGTAAGTATGTAATAGGCAAATAATTAAAAATTAACAATGATTCAAAACGCAGAATTAAAGTTGATAGTGCAATGATAGTGGATGACTAACGTAGTCATTTCTGGCTTCTGGACAGTAGATAACTGATGTTGATGGATAAGCCATCGAAAACTGCTCTTGTATGTTGGCCAAGACAATGCCTCTAATTCTTTTGTCTTTTATGTTTTTAGTATAATATTCCTCTTTTAGAGATCTAAATAATTTCAGCCTTGTTCGATGTATTGCAGGATCCTCTTGCACCATCTAGTGGGAGAGAATTTCTTGCTTCAATAAGACAGAAAATTGCGGGTGCTTTATCTGCAAGTAAGTAAAAAAACATGAAATTTAGGAAATAAGGAAATTTTAAGCAGTAAGTTATTGCATGAATTAGTAGCCACTTAAAAGGTCTGTATTTCACAAGTGTTCCTTATAAACATAATAAATTAACTTTGCTATATTATCTCAAAGTTTGGAAGACCTGCTCCAGTAAATTGTCATAAGTCGAAAAGTCAAATTGATCAAAAACAAAAAAGTTTTAAAATCTCCAGTTTTACAAAAGGCTTCCGTTTATGCATTCCATTTTAAATGACGCTTGTGAAATTGAATTTCCACATGAAATAGTAAAATTACATGACTTAATTAAATACTTAACACTTACAGGTGACAAAATCAAGGGATAGCCAATATGCAGATATACAAGATAGCAGTAGTAGCATGTATAAAACATATAAAAGGCAGTGTTTTTGGTCTGAGCTTTCGTTTGTAACTCAAGTGATTCATCTGAAAAAATGTTTCACGGTGATTATGGCTGCACAACAGTAATTACCAGACTTTGAACATGGAATGGTAGTAGGAGCTAGACAAATGGGACATTACATTTCGGGAATAGTTTGGGAATTCAATATTCTGAGATCACAGTTGTGAAGTGTGTGCTGAGAATACCTAGTTTCGGGCATATGGTAACCTCTCTTCACAGATAAACCAGAAGCCAACAGCCTTCACTTAATAACTGAGAGCAACGACGTTGCGTAGAGTTAGTGCTGACAGACTAAGAACTGTGTACGATGTTGAGACACTGCAGTGAAATTTGGCTTTAATGGGTTGTGGCAGTAAAGAATTGTCTTGTGTGTGTATGCTAACAGCACGACATCGCTTTCAGTGCCTCTCCTGGACTCGTGACCATATCAATTGAACTCTACACAACTAGAAAACTGTGGCACTGCCAGATGAGTCCCAATTTCAGTTGGTAATTATAGCCCCACAAACCCAAGGATCGAAGTTGTCAACAAGGCACAAATTAAAGATGGCAATGGCACAATGTGGGCTGTTTTTACATAGAATGGTCTGGGTTCTCTGGTCCAACTGAACTGATCATTGACTGGAAATGGCTAGTTTCAGCTACTTGGAAACTGTTTATAGCCTTTTATGGACTTTATGTTCCCAAAAAATTATGGAATGTTTCATGGATGACAATGCGCTGTGTCACCAAGGCACAATTTGCGAATGGTTTTAAGAACATTCTTGCCAATTGGAGCGAATGATTGGTCACCCAGATCACCCTACACGAATCCCATCGAATATTTCTGGGACATAACGGACAGGTAAGTTCGTACATAAACCATTTGTGACATAAATCTTTCGTGCATAAACCGTGCACTGACCAGTACCACAGTCGCAATTATGGATGGCTTTAGAGGCAGATTGCTCAATATTTCTCCAGGGGACTTCCAACGACTTGTTGAGTCAATGCCACCTCGAGTTGCTCAACAAAAGAAGATCCTCCATGATATTAGGTGGTATCCAATGAATTTTTGACCTCAGTGTAGTACCACGTGTTTATGGAAGAAATCACCAATATATGAAAATTGAAAATTCTTCATTAACAATTTCTGAGTTTCTCTTGGTTCTATAGGAATGATCATTTTAATTAATGTTATAATTTTATTGTTTTTCAATTATTGCTAAATTGGTTGTTGAACTCGTAAAACTACACACCACCTCATTGCCTAATAGCTGCAGGCAGACTGCTTGCAGACTCTTTCAACATATAATGCGTCAGAACCCAGAGTACTATGACTATACCTTCGCATGACCTATAGCAATGATCTCGATGCAGTGATCGCCAGCACTGCTGCAGGTACGGTCGTGATCATGTGAGATCTAGCGACAAAATTGAGAAAGACGCTATATACCGTGATATATTCCATCGTGAAGATTTCTCATGTGCCATGAAATAAAATCCCAAGTATATATAAATTCGCCAAAATTTTGCAATACCACATGTAAGTGAAATTTAGTGGAATTATTTATCCATGCCATTGAAAAGCCATCAAAGTTTTGGAATTTTGTGTAACTTTTCTCTCTCCCTCTCTTTCTCTTTGTCTATTTCTCTCTTTCTCTCTCTCTTTGTCTATTTCTCTCTTTCTCTCTCCCCCTCGTGCGCACACTCTTTATCTCTCATTCGCGTGCGCTCTCTCTTTCTCTCTGTCCCTCCCCTTCTTTCTCTCCCTCCCTCCCTCTCGCTCGCTCTCTGTGTATATCTCCCTCGAGGGCTCTCTCGCTCTCCAATGGAGAACGAATACTTGATGTAGTGACAATTTAATTTGTAACTTTTGGATTACTTTTTAATAATATTTTTATTTTACTTTCAGGGTGGAGAGATCACCAGGAAAGTCGGGAATTGGTGGGAAATAAGTAATTCCTTGGAAGAACGAAGAAAAAAGGGAGCTATTTTTATTGCTGGGAAAACTATATTTTAAACAATTAAAATAAATTGACATAATTGGGGCAATCAGTGAAAATGAACTCATGAAAATGGTATTCTGGAATATTCTGAAGTTGGATTAATTCGTATTCCCATTTATTCTTAACATTGTACTTTTGCTGTCTTAGTGTCATGCATGCATGTACATGTTAATTTCAATACACTTATGGATTGGATTCATATGTACTTTTCTACAGACTGCCTCAATTGGTGTCAAAAAGAAATGAATGCGGTTTTGGCTACTGATTTGTGATCAGGAATTATCACCTTGAGTGTAAGTTAGTCCATTGGGCTTTCTTACTTTTTTAAATTTTTATTATTAATGTCTGTAGTTAGTTTTTACACATTTATAAGAAACTGACCAAATTTATCAGACAATTCCTTTGCATTAATTGTTATTTAAATATGATAGTAACTGTTATAAAATAAATGAATTTTACTATTGTTTAATCTCAATACATAATTGTGATTTTGTGTTTCTGACAGACTATTCTTCATGATACAAAATTGCCATTGAGCCCATGATGTGGGGCTTTTGTTATTCTTGTTGTTGACATATTTGCAGTTAGAAATTTTGAAATTGCCGTAATTGTGAATTTGTCAAATAACACAGGGCTGTGATAATAAACTGCAAGGGAATTGAGAGTTCAACTTAATGTATTTTTTTGGTGCTGAATAAAAAAAAATGATGAAACATTTCTAATTCATTGTGTTTTCGTGGAAAAAAATCAATTTTACTTACATTTTTATGAACATTTACCATAAAAGATTTTCAGCATTGCATTTCTTCCTACTCTCCCTCCCTGCATGACCATCATTTGACAGTGGTGAAACCTACAGAAACCCCTTTGAGAAACCTCCCTGTCGCAACGTCTACTAATAGCGACGCACAAATCTTTTTCTCAGATCCGAATCGACAGTCACCTTCAGCAACCGTAGTCGACAATCATTTCGGCTTCATATTTCTTTCACGTACAGTGTCGTGCATGTGCTGATAAAGTGACAAGTGGAGACTGCATCACAGAAATAATTCTCACAGTTGCTTTCTCTCTGCGTTTTGTGAAATTTTGATATGTGATAATTTGCCAAATGACTTTTGTTACATATGGGGTAAATACAAGTATAATAATATACAAATATACTTCTACAATATTATTAAAATTACATGAGGAGCATTACAAACTTTATCTTGTGTATTTTGGCATGAAACTCGAAGACCTAGACGATTCCTGGGCTCCTTGTAAAGTTTTGTGCAGCGTCTCAATAATCTGTCTCAAAAGAAAGAAGACTGTTGTTAAGCAGCCATATCATACCAAATCGTTAGATTTGGAGTTCCTGTGACATGGAGAGAGCTGAAAAACCGCTTGATTACTGTTATTTTGTTTCCTTGGTATTTCCACAAAAAACAAAAGCTAGTCTCTTATCCTGATGACGTTCTATCACCCATACTCGTTTCCCGGCCTTTGCCTCCAACTGAATTGCAAGTTATCTCTTCAGAGTCTTGAGACACGGAACTTCCAGAATTCAAAGCTCTACTACCATCTACTACCGAATCAGAGGCGAATTATCTGAGCACTTGTCTCAGGGTTGAACTCGTCGATCTAACTCGATATTTCGACCTTTTAAAAGAGGAAGCTGAATTGTTAGACCCTAGAGTGAAAGAAAAAAATATTGTCCAAGGGAACCCCTTTTTATTAGTAAAGAAATCGACAATAGGAATTTCGTTAAGCTTTTTGAGGAATTTTGGGTGTGTGTGTCCGTGCGTGCTTGCGAGAGCGCGAGGGAGAGAGGGAGCGAGAGAGAGAGAGAGAGAAAGCAAGCGCGCGCGAGCGCGCTCGCTCATCGACAAGGAGCTTTTTTTTATGCTGCTTCAAGTAATATGTATCTGTACCACTTGGACTTTCAATGTTATTTGAAAAGAATGCTACAAAAATCTGGCTCTTGTCTTCAACGAAATAAAATATGCCGACCATGGTTGGACAATCTGCGGTGATTGGAAAGTTATCCTCATGCCTCCTTGTCAACAAATCGAATATATAAAGTTCCTGGCGGATAATTGTTCGAGAGAATTTCTAATCAAATAGTATTGTAGCAAAAATATCAATATTGATTTTACAATAACATCCTGTCGAGATGAAGAAAAATGGGAAGTCATTTTCCATATCATAACACCAAATAACAAAAATTTATGTATTGTTTCAAAACCTTCAAATTCCCAAACCTGTGTAATTATTGTTATGGTAATAAGAGTCAAGGTATTACGAGCTAGTAAAGTGCCCACATTGATATGCTGAAATTTTGTTCACACACTATAAAATTTAACAACAAAAAGTAATTAAAATCTGCATGTGGACTGTGATAATTTACGCATGAGATTCATCATGTGACATTTTAGGTTTACTCACTCCATAAAACATTACGAAAATGTTTTGACTATTTACGAACATTCTTGAATTTTCCGAACGGTTATTAAAGTTAAATGTAGGTAATATTTCTCTCGAAAATAATAATTAGTGGCCGTAGTTTCTATTGCATTTCAGTTCTTTTTGGGTGAAAGCATAAATTTAACAAGATTAGTGGAAGAAATCATTTCTCTCAGTTCTCTGTATTTTCTCTTTCTGCGGTCCATGCGTTACATTCCAACACACATTCTCAATGATTCTTAGTAGGTATTTTGGGACCTGCTTCTCCACCATCGCCTTAATAACAGCTTCCCAGCTAGCAGAGTTGATGTCATTCCTAATATCGATGGCAACCAGTGCACATAACCTCTATTTACCCGTTCCTCTTTTAGCAGTTTCCGTTATATGTACTACTTCCAAAATATCTTCTGTAGTCGATCGACCTTTCCTAAATCTAGTCTATTAGCGAAATTTATTCCTGGTGATAAATGCTTCTCTATGCGTTGAAAAATCAATCCTTCCGAGACTGGTATTGCATTCAGGAAACGGTGGCTTAAACATGATGTTCTGCCTAGGGGCTTATTTCCTTTCCGTAGGAGAATTAATTTCTCCTAGTTCTTGAAGAAAATTCCATGTCTGAGGCATCTATCAAATGCCTTCAATAAGCCTGCAGGATATTCCTTAGCCACAATCTTTAATTATTTCAATTTTATATATATATATAAATATATACTATATATATATATATATATATATATATATATAGTTGACGTAACCCTGGGAAGCGGTACTTTCACGAAATAAAATTATGCAAGGGACAGGTACGTTTTCGTGAATGGGACTCCAGGATTTGGGCGCGGCATAGGAAGATAATTGTAATAGCTTCTTTTGCACAATTTAAATATTTTAATGATCAGAGACACACATTACAAACTTAGTATTTACAAATCGCAATGGCGCAGGCCCTTGGAAACAATCGCACGGTCGACCTACCTTGATGTTTTAAAAACCCACCTGCCTTCGCTCTGGAGACGCCGCGGGCCGTCGTGGTAAACGGCGCGGTGTCTTCGGCAATCTTCGGTTCGGCCCCGAAGGTCCGCGCGGGATTCGTCCTCCCTCGGTGACCAAGCTCCTCTGGCCAACGTAACGGCGATGAATTCGCCAGCCGGGTGTGAACAATGTTCACGGGTATTGGGAAACGCCACGACGCGGTGATTGATGTTCATCGGCTGTTCTAGTCTTTTCAAGCGACCTTTCTTCAACTCTGCGCGGATGTCCGTACAGTACTGCCCACTGTTATATTATACCAGGGCGGGATTATGACACGAGCCCACCGGTCACGCGAATTTCCTGTCTTATGGTTTTATCAGTTCTGTGGCGTAATTCATTACTTCCACTAATCATCTGATTGTTATTCCTTATCAAACCTGGTTCCACACTCAACACGGCCACACTCAGACCGAATTGAACTTAACAAACATAAATCTCTTTGGACGGAGCACTGGCCCCGTCTGTGCTTCACTCAAGAACGGCCTCTCCCGCGCACTCACTAACCGTCCGCTCGCCTCGCCGTTTTCCCCCCGATTTGACCGTTGGTGGCTGGCGGCGGCGTTACTGCGCTGATACAACTCAGTACTTTATTTTAATTTATAATTGGTGATCATTTTTAATTGTTCTAATTCCAGAAACGTTCTTCGTTAATTATAATATATATATATAATATAATTATATATATATATATATATATATATATATATATATATATATATACCGGGCATATTTGCCGCATAATCTTACGATTGACCTCTGCACTTGGGAAATCATTGTTACGATGTTCACATAAACAATTCAAAACCAGAGTGGCAATTTGTTTTCCAGTTCCAAAAATATTAAAGAACGCTCTACAAGCAATCCATGGGCCAGCGTAACATAATTATCTTGTTATGACGCACAGTTGATCAATGTGCGATAGATCAGGTGTTGATTACACAGATAAACTAAAATATACAGAAACTATTATTTCATCCAAAATCGTAGAGTGGACTTGCTTACTTATTAGTTCAATAAACTCTGAATGTAGTTTTCAACAAGTGTTGGCATAGGCGGCAGAATTAATTCAAATTTGACGCCACATTTGGAGCTCATTCAGTTTGACAACTCTTTGAGGTATTTAAGAGTATACATTTCAAACTTGGCGCTTTCGAAATCGAGATTTGGATCCAAAACCCGCGAATTCTCTCATAAATTCATTTTATGTTTGACTGTGGCGGTGGAGAGTGTTGCGAACTGTATTTCCATGGTGCTATATTCGCTGTCTTTTCGTGTTTGTGAACTGACTTGGTTAAAATTAGATTAGTGATATTTGAGTGTCATTTACTAACCTCTCAGTTTCAATTGCCCGAAATCATCGTCAGTTATAATTCATTTGACACGTAGTAAAGGCTTCACAAAAAGTTGTGAAATATCAGAGAAGGTCTGTAAAATGCGCAGTGAATTTATTGGTTAGGTCATAGTGAATTACTGCTGCA